AAAGGTGAATTTAGAGCAGTCAGGAAGAAGATGATGAAAGATCTGAATTGAAGATAATGCAGTAAAGCATTGCTGGATTGAGGACTGGTCTGGGCGACGGCTAAAGTAAATTATATTCAGGGGAATAGAGCCAGCCCCCAAATACCATGCCATCAGTCACAAAGGTATGTGGACATATGCCAATGGCAGCTTTACCTATTAATTGAAGCAAAATAAGTGATTCCATGTGGTGAAGGACTTCTGAGCCAAATCAGCAGAGATTCCGCTTGCCTGAAGCTAAACTATCTGCCAAACTTTCCCAAAGTACTGGCTGGACACCCAGACTGGAAATGAGAAACTCAAGAATAATGAGAAGGACTGTGGTGGGAGGTAGGGAGGTTGGAGGGGAGAACTGCTGGAGAGTCTGAATCCTGACTGATTGCTCTTGGTCAGTACAATCCCCTTGTTCCCTCATCCTTTCTAAGGAAATGAAAAACGTTTTACAGGATGCTCAGTTTAGACAAGAAAACTGTCACTCCTTTACAATTTTAATGAACACCTATAAGTTTCTAAGAAAGCGGCTTCAGATTTAGGGCGCCCACTCCTGGCCACTCCTATGCCCAGAGGCAAAGACCTTCCCTTGGTCTCGACTTAAAAGAGACCTGAAGCAACAGGACAATAGCTAATGGCAATTCCATTACATTGCTCTATTAAGTCTAGGAATTAAACTAGAAAAACAATTATATTCCCTCATGATGAATTTCAGGATCCTGTGCATTTGCATTCCCAGCACCTAGCAGAGTGACTGCCCCATGGTAGGAGTTCAAAATGCTGAAGAACAAAGGGAAACTGATGGGAAATGTATTATTGCGCATATAAAGCAAAATGGATCTAAAAATCTGTTTTCATAGGCATCATTGGTTCTACACTGTTAGGATTTAACAATGAGAGAAAATTATGTGTTCTTCCCAAAGAAATATGAACCAATAAATTTGAGAGAATACTTATCATTTTTTAAAGTACCCATTATGTGTCAGGTGCAATATCTCATTTAGTCCACATCATAATTCTTGAGGAAACTGACGCTCAGCGAGGTTAAGTTGCTTCCACAGAGACACAGCTGGCAAGTGACAGAGATTTAATCTGGGATTTAATCCAGACTAGTCTGACTCCAAAGCCTGCGTGTGTGCTCTTTTCACTGCACTTTCTCAGGGAGGAAAAAAAAAAGTCATTACTATCTACAGAGAAAGCCCCACAACCTTTCTCTGTATTAATGTTAAACTAGAAAATTAAAGATAGTCACTTCCAGGTCAGGCAGGACCTAGCCAAGCAGAGAGAAGTGATGTCTCAGAAATTCCAGACCTGAATGCTGTATCCCACACCGCTCACTATATATTTCTTGTTACACTATAAATCTGGAACTCAAACTCAGGAAATTCTGCACTGGTTAAACAAAAACAACAAAGAAAATTCTCACATCCCCCTTTTCAGAAACCCTGGAAATTAGACATCTTTAAGATGAAGATTTCTAATGGAAATAGGGTTTCTGCCTGGCTCATTTCCACTGAATTTAACATTGAGAGAGACAAGGCCTGGGATTTATCCTCAGTTCCTGGGCAAGGGCCAGGAAAACAGAGCCAGCCAGACAGAGAGGCTGGAGTTGTGAGGCTCCATACTTAAAAAGACACCAAAGAGGTATTAAGTCACAGGAAGCTGGTGTGGGCTCAATGGTATGGGTCCAGATTTAAAGGCACAATTATAGCGAACTTGTGAAAGCACTGCCTAATTCCCCAGCAAATCTGAAGTTGTATTGGAAATCTCAGAGTGACATAAGTAAGAAAAGAATTTAAAAGTCAAGGTTAAGGAGATGGAGTAAATTAGCAGGGAGCCCAGGAATTGCTGAGATCACAGAAGAAAGATTGAGAGGATATGGATGAGAAATGTCTTGGATATGAGATAAAGGATAGGATCCCACACAACGGGGACTAAAGGCAGAGAGATGTTAAGGCATTAAGCTACAGGAGGAATTCCAAAGGAGAAGAGGTTGGATAGAAAAGAGGGTTATATCTGTAAAAAGGGGTCCCTGGAGAACATAGTAGTAACTCAATGAAGGGGAGGGGTGGGAGGCTTAAACGTGTGTATGAATGTGTGCGTCTGTGCGTGTGCGAGTCTGTGTGTGTGTGTGTGTGTGTGTGTGTAGCCCAGAAGGAAACTCCCCAAAAGGAAATGCATGTGAAGGCTCTGCGCCAGGAAAAGCGATCCAAAGGACTGTGGGAGCAAAGCTCCCTTACAGAGAGGGTGTCCCACAGGAGGCCAGACCCCGCAGACTCACCTCGGCCATAGCCCTGCGTGTGTTTGGCGAAGCTCCTCACCACGGCCTCCACGGCCTCCCGCAGCACTGCGGGGCTGCCGGCGGCTCCGGGGGGCAGCGGCAGCCCGGCGGCCCCAGACAGGAGCAGAGGCGGCGGGGGCGGTGCGGGGGGCGGCGGGGCCGGCGGGGGGCCCGCCTGGGGTGTGGCGGTGGCTGCAGCGGCCCCAGTCACTCCGGGCCGAAGCGCTCGCAGAGTGCCCCTCCCGCTGGTGCCCACTCCAGGCTGCAGCCGCTGCGCTCGCAACGTCTCCATCCCGGCCGCCAGTGGAGTAGCGGTCCAGAGCCTGCCAGCCTGGCGAGCTAACGGTCCCAGCCTCCCCCGCCAGCGAGCGCCCAGGGACTGAAGGAGGTGCCGGAGCCCAGCCGTCAGTCAAGCGGGGGCGGGGGTGAGCCAGGTCCTATGCCAATCACCAGAGAGGGGGCGGGAGCTGGCCGGCTGCCGCTCCGCCATAGGCAAATTACTGAGGAGGGCGGAGGTTCTGAGCAACCAATTACAAAGAGAAAAAGCGATATCCTCAATACGGGAGAAGCTTAGCTTGGGCGCGTCTTTGGGAGTCCTGTGGGGAGCACTAGAAAGCGGGCCAGACCCCAGGGCCGAGGCTAGAGGCAAAAGAAAAAAAAAAAAAAAAGGCCCGGATGCATGGCTGGGGAGAACTGTAGACAGAGTGAGAGGATTCTTAGAGCGCCTTTGTCCGACCACTTCATTTTACAGATGTAGATGAGGAAACTGGCTCAGAGAAGTGACGTGACTTGTCCAAGATCACATGCAATTGGTGGTGGAGCTAAAGCAAGGAAAGATACTGGCATTTAATGAGCATATACTTACTGTTTGTCAGACACTATACAATGTACTTTAGTGCACTGTCATTAATAGTCACAATCACTAACTAGACTTTATTATTTTACGGATAAAGAAACTGACAGAGAGGCTAGATAAATTGTCCAAAATTAAATAGCCAAGAGATGGCAAAGGAGGGTTCAGACATAGATCTTCTGATCCCCAATATTTTAATCTTTTCGTTATACCACATCGTTGGGGCATTTTCTGATTTCACCTATTCTAGGTTGAGGGAGGGAGTAAGGAAGAGTAGAATGGGTTGCTCCCATACCTCTCATTAGAGCAAGGAAGAGTTAGATTATAGGAAGAAAACCAGCAAGCTGAAAGGTCCAGGGGGACAGATTAAGACAGGTACCTTCGTTCACAGGTACCTGTCAGGCTAGGTTCCTCCAATTACTCTTACACGCACACACGCGCCCGCACACGCACACACACACACACACACACACACACACACACACCCTGTTTGTCAGTTGACTATCATACCATTTTTACCTAGGCGAGATTATACGATTCCTCTCTCACTCTCTCTCTCCACCCTACAGTGGCTCAGAACTCAAGGATGCAGAAACAGAAAACAGAAGCAAGAAGTAGAAGAAAATGAAATGCACCTGGTGAGATAAAAGTTAGGCCCCCAAGGGAAAACTGTGAGTGGTCAAGACATAGGAAGCTTGAAAGAGGGACAGTTAATCTATTGGGATATATCTGCTGATGGTGAGGGAAGGGATTCTTTGTATGAATCTTAAGTTAAAGAATTTGAGGATGGACATAGGGGAGACTGAGGGAAATGAAAACCTATCAGATGGCATAAAACCTTCAGGACATGGGACACTTGCCTTTTCTTCTACAACCACAGTTGGTCTCCTGGAAAGAAGGTGGCTGGAACCTCGAAGTATCCCCTAGATCATTATAGCTATAGTTAGCATCACCCTCCCTCCCTATTCCTCATTCCCCACACCCTCCACCCCCAGCAGAAGTGACCAAACAGAGACTTCTGAACACATTTATTTGATATGTCGAGTGGAGAGAGGAGTGATTTAGGGTTACTCCCCACTTCTACCTGTGGGGGTGTTCATAAGCTCAGACAGACAGAACAGCAGCTTAGAGCCCATGACCCACCTCCTGGAAAAATGAGACAACCTGTTGTACTGGTTGGGGGAACAGGATGGGAAGAAAAAGCAGGAAGCTGAGAAGTAAAGCTGAGAGCAGGAAGGGCAGCAGCAGAACTGAGGCTGGGGATTGCTGCAGGAAATTCCCAAGGAGAGTGAAGAAGATATCCTGAAAAGTGGTTAGGGCTGGAAGCAGGGTGTGAACAAGGAGCCAAGCCTGGAGAGAGAAGCAAGACCTGCAGAATGGGGTGGGATATTCATGAAGAGGGTAGAGTGTCCAAAATCATGAGTGGGCTGTGTTGCAGGGCATACATGGAAAGCAAGGGGTTACTATTGCAGGAGGTCAAAGAGATTGGAGACTACCCATAAGTAGGGGCTCCCTAACGCTTCTGAACAAATGCAAGTGAGCTTGGGACCCTTTTGGGGCCCTAGCACAAATGGTCCTGTGTGTGAGTAATTCCCATATGCATGTGAAGTGGCCAGGGCATGAGTGCATGTGTCTATATGACCAATAAATAAGAGTACTTACCCTTCCCTGCAAGTGCGAGTACTGTGCTTGTAGACACATGTTTACCCATGTGTGCGTGTGCCGAGCCCATGAGCACATGCAACAGACCCCTATGTCCGAGGTGTGTGTGTGAGCTGGTTCTTCCACCCTTCCCAAGGTCTTGATCCCCACCCTCCTTGGCTCCTCTCACTCCTCTCAGCGCCCAGGCTCCCCTGGCCCGCCTAGACTCTGGAAGCCCCCTAGCAGGCGGATCTGCTCAGTCTGCATGGAGTGGCGCCTCACCAACTTGCGCTTGGTCCTGGGAGAGCCTGGCGCCCCCGCCTGGGGAGGGGCGGGCAGCGAAGGCGCCCGACCTCCGGGTTGGGGGCGAATGTCAGGGATGGGAGGGTGGGGGCTGACATTGAGCGGGGGCAGGAAACCAGGCCGTGTTTGCGCGATGTGGTCCAGAAGCAACGTCCCCGAGCCCCTCCGCTCCAGCAACCCTGGACTCCGCCTCCGCCCGCTCAGCGGAGACACAGCCCCAGGCAGACTCTCCTGGGACTGGCGCGGGGAGGGAACAGAGCCGGCTGGAGGGAGGGTCAGCGGGGAGGCGCTGTATCTACGGCGCTCCAGGGATGGGCGGCTGCACTCCGGCGAGTCGGGGCAAAGATTTCCGGGGATATCGAGCTCCATCGGCTCCATGCGGCTCAGTTTCTGCCTCAGCCCTGAAGGGGGGCCAGGCTCCTGAGCTTCTGGTGCTGTGTTTCGGCGCGAGAGAGGACCCCCACCCGTCACTTTCTCCGCCCACGGGGGCGGGTCCTCTGGGCCTTCAGTGCTATGACGTCTGGAAAGACGCGGTCGACCTGTCAGGGTCAGGCCGTTGAATTCGGTGGTCAGGCGCTCAATCCCCGGCCTCCCTTCGGCAGGAGGGACCGGTTGAGGAGGGGCCACTAGGCCCCAAGGCTCGGAGTTGAGCCTTTTGAGTGGTTTTGGAGGATGACGGGGTGGTTTGGGGAGTGGCTCAGAAGGGGAGGGGTCATCTGGGGGCTTAGGAAGAGGGAATTCAAATACGTCCCGCTTCTCCTCTTCTTCCTGGGCGCGAGGGGATAACAATCCCTGTCCTCCTACTCCTGCAGTCTGCAGCTGGATTTCCGACGGCGACGTGCAGACCCCCGGGCTAGGAGGAGCGGGAGCGGGGTCCTCCACCCCCGGGGACGGTGGGGAATTGAGATACTGCCGGGTCTTCTTGGTGCCCGAGGGCGAGGTGTCGGTGGTGATGATGATGACCTCCGTGCCCTTGGCCTTACAGGCGTCCAGCAGCGTGGCAAGGGTCTCGCGATCCCCGCGGTCCAGGGCGTGGACAAGCGCCGAGGCGCCAGCGTGATCTCGGACTGAAGGGTCTGCGCCATGGGCAAGGAGCAGGGAGGCCACCGCTGCGCCCCCGCCGCCGGCGCAAGCGTGCATAAGCGCCGTGCGCCCTAGGCGATCTGCGATGTTGGGGTCTGCGCCTTGCTCCAGAAGGTAGCGTACCATGCGCGCCTTGTTCTGGGGGTCGTCGTAGCGGGCCCGACAGGCCGCCATTAGCGCAGTCTCCCCTTGGGCATCACCCTCATTCACGTAGGCGCCCCCCTCCAGAAGCAAACGGGCCAAGCGTAGCTTACCCTGACCCACGGCCCGAAGAAGAGCGTGGCCCTCGGTGTGCAGCATAGCTGCCGCTGGGGCGAAAGCACCGATGGAGCCGGGACTGGGACCTGCCGAGGATGGCTAGGGGAGTGGGGGTGGTGGCTGGCAGAGGCCCGAAGGCTCAGTGGCGAAGCCAATCCCTGCAAAAAAGAGAAAGATCTTATTTATTGATTCAGGCAGGGAAACTGAGGCACTGGTGGAAGGATCGGCGTGGGGCGGGGGAGATCTCCCCGGCACTGCACACAGTCCTTCTTCTAACTCCTGCCTTGAGCCGCCCGCATCCCCCCAGCGCATGCCTGAGGAGGTGGGAAGGGTGCACCCGCACTGAAGGACGAGCGCCAGTGCAAATGCGTACGTGCACGCGCAGGGATATCCGCACCGCCACCCTCACCCCACGGCTTATCAGACCTTTCCAGCATCCCCCTTTTCTTATCCGTACTTGGAATCCCCCTTCCTAGGATGCTGAACGCCACCCCCCGACACACATGCACCCATACATTCACAAACAGTCCCATTCCTAACCTCTTTTAGGTTGCCACAGCCCCACAAACTGAATGGGGGGAGGGAGGCAGCTTGCGTTTGGGACCTAAAACGGGTAGGGGGAGAATTGCGGGTTTCTTTTGCCCCTGCTACATTCCCCATCACTCCTAGCTCTTTCCCCTTCCCAGGCTGTGCACCCAAATAGATACCTGTAAGTCCGCAGAATCTCCTCCGGGCCAGGACTGAGGCCAGGGCCACGGGGCAGCTGGGGTGGCGGAGCCGGGTTCCTGGGGGCCCACATGGCGTGGGGGTGGGCACCCGGATTCCCTGGTTGTCAGTATCTGCGCCCGGGCACAGAATCCTGGTCCCTCCTCCCGGTGCGCCCCGGGCACAGCGCCGGCTCGGGAGGAGAGAAGCTGGTGGGGG